CGATTAAGTTACCGTAACCCGATGGGAACGTTTCTAACTTTTTGAAATAAACACTTTTGGGTTAATTTCATGAATTCCAAAGGCTTTGGATACTCATTAAATTATAATAAACATATAAGTTAGATAATTTAACCCAAAGTGAAAACATAACGAAATTGATAACGGTGAATTTTTCGGGTAGAACAGGTTTGGCGACGAACAACTTCGGGTTGTTACATTATCCCCCGTTAGAGGGAATTTCGTCTCGAAATTCAAAGAATAAGATATAGCTCATGAATTTGGAATGAGATATGGGTAGACTTGTTGCCTCGGATCTTGACGTTCTCAAGTGGAACCGGGTCTCCGCTGGGCGCTCCAGCGAACCCTCAATATCGGGACGCGACTTTGTTTTCTCACATAGACTCTCTCTCAATCTACGATCTCAATTGGTTCTCTCATGGAAGTTCCAACCCTGGACGACTTCGGTTCCCTCAAAGGAAATCACTAGGGTTCATCAAGCAAGTGCTTCTAAAGATTCGGAATGTTGGAGACAGGATTGACGTTTCTAAGTTCTGAAGGTACTCGGAGTTCGAAGGCTACGGGTGGATCCTAATGAGGATCTCGAAGGTTCTATTGTACCACAAGCTTCACTTTTTTGCTCTCGATAGTGTGCCATGCGTTTTCAAGGGCGAGACCATTAGTAGGACGCGATCTCCAACTTGGAATTTCCCAAGGTTTGCATTGGACATTGGCATAACTCTTCTATCAATCTAGTGAAGTTTTAAATTGTTCTCATAATAGCTGACAAAACCCAAGAATTGACCGGTTTTCTATGGGCGTCTTCGGTGCCGATCAATTATCTATTGCTTCGATCTTATGAGAATCCACGTGTATGTCTTCATTGCTAACTACATGACCAATGGAGAATGGTTTGACCGGATGGTATCAATACGAACTCCTAGTGATCATATTGAGCCTTGAATGATGCCTTGAAGCATCACTCTCATGATCTCGTAGCTGATGGTGTCTTGACCTAAGGTATATCTTTGAGGAGTAGCTGGATCCCTGAAGTTATAGAAGAAGTCATCTATTCGGGAAAAGAGGATATCAGTTTTGACGGTTAACTCATTAAGCTGATTGGAGAACTCTTGCATTGCTGCTGGAGTAAAACGATACAGAAGTTTGGCTACGAGGATAGTTCCAGGGATTAGATTGACATGAGACTCGACTTGGCGTTCAGAAGAAATTCTCGGGAGCTCTTCGAGAAGATATCAGGGATACTACTACAGTTTTCGAGGATGCTCTAGGGATCTTTAACTTTTGTTTCTCGCTGATTTCATGGATTAGGAATACCTAACACTCCTTTTTGCAGGAGTTTTTCGAGCTATGATTCAGAAAATGATGCAAAGATTTGGGCCAAGCTTGACACCACATCTCATGAGGGTCTGGTCAGAGGGAAAGGTTGAGGCGAATAACTTTTTCATAACAAAGTGTATCAATATGATCAGGACTCAATTGATACATGCCAAAGATAACATCAATCTCTTTATTGAAACTGACATCAGGGCAATGAGGAAAGAATGATTACTCAATGTAAGGATGTAGCTCGAGGATAAGTCGCTAGTGCACTCATTCTCACTGGTAACCATATTGATGGAAAATGTTTCGGTTATTAGACGAGGACTATATTTACGAAGATATTTGAGTGAATGACTAATAAAATTTTCTTGACCCTAGATTCGAAAAGGATGTGAACATAAGAATAGTCGGAAAGAAATATACCCGCGATGTTAGTGGGATTGGCGGCTGCTTCCTCCTGCTTCAAAGCTAAAACCATTCCGGTGTTGTTGACATTGTTGGGGGTTGTTGCTTTTGGGCAGTTTTCGCTTGAAATGCCCAATTTCTCCACAACTATAGCAGACCTGCTTGATACTTGATTCAGAAGTTTGTTCGAGGTGTTGGACTAGTGTCCTGCAGCTTCTAGCGATGACCTTTCTTGCCACAGCGTTTGCAAATCATCTTACGACATGGGCCAGGAATATAATGATGATAACTACACCTGTTGCACCAAGGGAGATTACCCGCATACCTAGTGTAGGTGCTTGAGTTATAGGCACAGTAACAGGAGTAATAGCAGCTTGAACTATAGACACAACGACAGGAGTAGTGACAGCTTGAACTGCCACAGTTTCGCGCCTCTTGGAGGGTCCTTGGGAATTCTGACCTTTCCGCTTTTTACTCTTATCGTTTTCGTTTGATGCTCCTGAACATTTTCGTGGTTTTGTGGATAGGGTTATATCCTGGACCAATGGACTTGTTAGGGTTCAAGATCGTCATTACAGCCGTCACTGCAGCAGAAACAGCCATCTGGAACATCATAGGGTCGAAGCGAGATGAGGGTGGCGATGGAGGGCTGTTGTTACTTGAACTGGATCCTTTCTTCGAAGACATTTCGATCTAAAGTGATTAGTAAAAAGAGGATGGTAAGTCCTCTACATTAAATCAAGAGATATGAAAACAAGG